GGTAGCCCCCATGCTAGATTTGAAGCTTTCGTGACTGCAAGGATTTCATACTCTTAGGGTTTTTTTCGGTAAAGTCACGTAGGTAAAAAATGAAAAATAAATAATGAAAATACTAGAAATAATAATAGAAATAAAATATTATTTTTATTATTATATTTTTCGGTAAAGTCGCGTAGGTAAAAAAAGAAATAATAAAAATACTAGCAATAATAATATATATAAAATATAATTTGTATTATTTTATTTCTAAAATTATTTTATTATTTTATTACTATTTTTTTTATTTATTTTTTATTTTTTACTTACGTGACTTTACCGAAAAAACCTAAGAGTATGGCCCCATGCTGCCAATTCCACTGTTGACAACGAGAAACATTTTTGTTGATGTTGAAATTCGTAACCCGAGGAAATTCGATGAAACCTCCTCCATCCAGCAGTGGATTTGGTCGCGGCTGGAATTGCTGATGCTGATGATGGGCCGGAGCAGAAATTGGCACCGTTCATGTTGATTTCTGTTGTTGTTCAGTCATACCAAGGTAACGACAGGGCTATAGGGCGAATAACAGATCAATGTTTGATATCCCACTCATGTCAAAGAGTGTGGTTATTTGGCTGCATAATTTAATTGGGACAACCAACGTGATGTTTGACACATCGGGTGGTATGAGCAAGTGAAATCACTGCTCTGGGCACATTGGACTATGATGATTGATGATGATGGATTTAGGCAACATAACTGGTGTTCATTTAAACTGGCGACGGTTGATGCGATTAATAATAACAAATACTGTAATTCGTTTAAATGAAAGACCATTCATATTTAATTAGCGTAATTTTGTAAAAAAAAAATATACAACAGAAAAACAATATTAACTCATTCTGCATTCCTGCAATACATTTAATCAAGATACAAAATTAATCACTGTTATACAATACATAAAAATACAATAAATTAATCATGTTAAATTTGGGGTGTGTGCTTTATTTGGCTCATTACATTTCTAATAATTTAACATTTTAGTTTGGTTGTTTTAAATGCTCATTTTTATTTACTATGGAGTGTAGCTGCTTTAACCATCACCTGTTTCCTTTAAAGCAGTGTTCGACGCATGTGTTGAGTTTTGGTTATATTTGCTTGTGCACCACAGCCAGTGCGTTACTACCAAATAGTACATTTATCTCAGCAGCGTATTGTTCACCTACTGTTGAAAAATACATCTGACAAAATGACTTCAGAAGTAGTCCTTTGACACAGGGTGGTGTTCTAATAGTAGTAGGCGTCACAAGTAGAGGTGTTTTCGTCTCATTAAATAACAACGATGGGATTAGCGAGTCTAGAGGCTTTCTGGACCAAGGATTACATTTCTTCCACCGGCTTTGACTTCATGACTCTCATAATCAGAGTGGATAATGCATATTAAGAAAAATGTAATTCATTCATCTAGGAAAGCCTCACTGAGGGCCAATACTTTTCATGAAGGTCAGTCATTGGGATGTGTTTGGCCAATCCCATTATGGGAGGACACTTGGCCACAAGGAGAAAGCCCATCGCGCAAATGAGGGCTTAACACTCATCAAAGCTCTGCACACGCAGGTTGATTAACCCACTTGCTGTACTGCCATCGGCTGGTCACTTCACAGTTTAGCGAGTTGGACATTTTCTGAAAACGACGTGACCCAAAACCCCCCTCACCTCCAAAGCGCTGGAGGCATGGACTGAACTTCTTGGTTCTTTCGGTAAAGTCACGTAGAAGGGAAGTAATAAAATAATAAAAATAAAACATAATAAAATAATTCTCACGACGTTTCGGCCACAACGCAAGCAGCCGTCCTCAGGTGAAAACCAGGTTTGTCGAGGCGACAGCGTCTGAATGATTCAAAAACGTCGTGAGAATTATTTTATTATGTTTTATTTTTATTATTTTATTACTTCCCTTCTACGTGACTTTACCGAAAGAACCAAGAAGATGAATCCCTGCAGTCACGAAAGCTTTAAATCGAGAGGCATGGACTGAATTTTGCGTTTGAAAATCAAATTTTGTTGGTGGAAAATGTAACAACAGTGGCTGTTTTTCTTCCATGTTTTCCAATCGGGTGAGAGCTGGAGCCACAGTACACGATAGACAAAAGCAGCTCATATCATTACTCATCCTGTGCTGCGCTTAACATATGTTTGAAGTTTGTCTCAGAGCGACTGTATTGTGCCCCCCCCCGTGAGTTGTTTTTGTATGCCCCCCTTTAAACAAGGTCACACTGCAGGATTGCTCCTGTATAATGTGATGTCATTTAATTTAATTTAACCAGGTGGTGGTTCAGTAGCCAGTTTCATAAAATATCTCAAGTGGAAAATTTGCTTAGTTTGCACTGATTTTTTGCAATCAACCACAAGTTAGAGGAAGGGGACCCTTTCCCTAAGTATGAAGCTTCGTTCGAGATCTTGAAGAGCAACCATGGCAATGTGCCATCGCCTTAATATTCACTGCAGTGACGTTACGGCTGTACTGCGGTGGCCTCTCCAGAAAGTCACATGAGCGTATATATTCGTTATAATTAAGGAAACTGCGATCTCACGTCGGACATCCTATGACTCACTTTTTGTACACTTTGACCAAGTGAGGACCTGGTTACATAATATTCCGTTCTGTTTTTTTTGTTTTGCAATGAGACCTTGGGATTACGTACTGTGGATTTATAGGAATGGTGTATCAATCAACAAAGGTTGGACCTCAAGGTTACATACCTTTAATAATGGACTATGGAAATTATTTGAGAA